TGTCAGCATTTTTACTTTTACCGAGTATGAAAAAACTAGTAAACGTCTTCGTGCAATTTTTTTGATTATTAAAAAAACATAAAGGATAAGAAAAAGACTGCACGAAGACAAACAACACATGCTTTTTTATTTTAMAACACAATTTMAACCATATTTTCAGTTCGGAAGAATGACTCAAATGCAAGGATTGAATCTTTTCCATTATAAAAAAGTACATGATTTAAGGGCCAACAGATTTTCSAACACGTATAGAATTTTTCCGTTGRATTCAAAGCCACCAACATGATTTAAAAAGCCTTTTATGGTCGGGTGAGGCAACCTTTTCAAGAGGCAAAGCATTCAACATAATASAKAATAYTCAGTTTTGGAGCCTCGAGAATCCGAGWGTGGTTCAAAGGGCAAATTTCGAACATAGGTTCTCTTTCAAAGTATGCGTTAGAGCCATAAAGATTCACYATTGTCAAAAATCAGCCCTCCACCTCTGTCCGTCAAATATTTTTTAAAGGTTCCGTTTGTGGGTCAGTAGACCGAGAAAGCGGGTGGTGAAAAGGATAACAAAAAGATGCAACAGGGTGCCATAGTGTTCAGACCTGCTTTTGTTTAGTACCACAGCCTTGTTTTGTATTGTGGCGTTTTAGATTTATTGTTCAGTTGTTCCTTTGTTCGAAGTGTTTTTGTCTGCTATTAAAGTACTTAAGCTAGTTTTTGGCTTTTATTTCGAACCGGGTTGTGAAGTTAAGACGGGTAGTTTTTTCGGACACAACAGTATGGGCAGGTGTCATAGGGGATATCTTGATAGGACCGATTATTTTACCAAATATGTTAAGAACCCATAATTATTTAAATTTTCTACAACATGTTCAACTCTGCAAGAATTGCTAGAGGATATTTCTATAAGCACTCGGTTAGAAATGTTCTTCCAGCTGATGATGGGGCCCCAGCCCACTTTAGCCAACCTGTGAGAAATTAGCTAAACCAACATTTTCCAAGCTGGTGGATAAGTCGAGGTGGCCCAGACAACTGGCCAGCTCGATCGCCTGATCTAAATCATTTGGATTATCATCTGTGGGGTAATATGTCCAATATTATTTATGCCACAGAAGTAGATAGCCCGAAGAGCTTCTAAGGCGGATTTGCGCGGTGGGAAATCAAACAAAACAGAACCCTTTTGAAATTATCCGTGCCACCCAACATATCAGGAAAAGTCCAGAGTGTGCATTCAAGAAGATTGAAATTTGTTTGAATATTTACTCCAGTAAATTAGTGTTAATAATAATATTAATTTAAAATATACAATGTGTATGAATAGCAGTGATATTTTTAAAGTAATTTAGTTGGAAAATGGTGCGTCTGAGCGAAATGCATTAAGAGTACCTTTTCTTCGTAAAATATTTCAGGTTTCCATAATTTGTAGAAAAAAGGTTGATTTATAGTCTCACAAAAAAGCTAGAGCTATTTTTGTACTTCTACCCCCCTAATGATACGTCTATAATGAAATTCTAACAGTTTTATTAAAGTTTCAAAATTATAAAAGTTTCTAAAATTGACGTTTTGAAGTTCAACCGTTTAGAAATAATTTGCAAAAAACCCTACTACTGGGCCCCTCTTCAAGAAGGGGAATAGTTCCTTTAGGGAGCATTTTTCGATACATGTTCGTTTGAAAAATTAATATTATTTTTTAGAGTAGATTTCACTGTTTCAGTTTGGCTACCTATTTTCGGAACACCCTGTGTAATATTTAAAAAATATAAAGTGATAAA